AGGAGAGCTGTAGCAAAAGAGCAGCAAACCAGTAAGGGTAAACCACAACACTGATACCAGTTTTGTGGTTGCTGTCTTCAGAGAGGATATGCAAAAAGAGATGGCTATGACAGCCCCACACAATCCTGTTTCTCTCCCAAAACTGAAGCCCTGGAGGAGAAAGTTAACACATTTAAAACCCTAAGAAGGATAGGGCTTGGCAAACTCTGACAAAGCAATAACTCATTTTTTTCCAAGAATTTCAGAGCTCTTTGTCACACAACAGACATATTCAATACACCAGCTGCTAAAATGGTAACAATTAAAAAAAAAAAATCACACATGCAAATAGCTATCATTTCAAGCTTGATTAGCTGACCACAGGATAAATGCAAACATTCCAAAATTAAGTAAGAAACAAAACTTGTTCCAGCAGCTGACAGCCTTGCAAGATTGACTGTCTGCAGGAAAATGGGTAAAAGATCATTCACACAGATGGTCTGATAGTAACAATAAAAACTGATCCTTCAGCCAGTGATGCATCTTCCAACAAGGGAATATATACAGCTAGTCCAAAAGTCAAACAAGCCAGTAATATAAACAACAGAGGGAAGCATCAGAGATCAAGCCAAAAACAGATGCGAGATTGGACAGATACTTCTTCAGAAAGGAAAGGAAAACAGGAAAGGTGTTTGCAATCATTTAGATTAAGTGAAAGCATATCAATAAGTGTAATCAAACCAGAATCAGCACATTAATTATTACTGATTGAAATCTGAGGATCAGATTGTGTCAGACCACAGATGACTCACAGCCAATGATTCAGCCCTTAAAAAAGAAAGAAAAAAAAAATACCACCATCTTAAGCAACTCCCAGACCATTCAGCAACTACACTTGTTTACACCCACAATAAACCTAAAAGAGTTCAGGAAATTATCAAGCAAGGAAGCCTCAAGTCTAGGCAGCAGGTCACCAAGACAGAGTTTACAGGTCCTGTACAAGTGAAATGGGTGATTCTCCACTGCTGGATATACAACTCTATGCTCCTATCTCACTCACCAGGAGAACAATCAAGTGCCCAAAAACCAGCACCGCTCAGAAAAATGGACAGCCTGGATTACTGAAGCTGAATGATAACTCAAACCACCAAACCACATTGTGCACACCGGTGATTCATGGTTTTAGCTAGCGGGGACTGCCCAGGAAAAACGAGTCAGCAGAAACTCAAGGCTTCACTTCTGAAACTGACGCAGAAATAAACAAAATACTGCAGGCAAAAACATGCACAGCTTTCTCAAAACATTTCACTCCTCCAGGTGACAGCCACACATGCATGCTCATCACCTGGGAGGCAATCCTAGCTCCTTTTCAGACCTTCCACGCAACTTAGTGGATGACAGCTCCAGTTGATACAACAGTGTCATGCAAACTAGTAGGTCTGGGAGTTGGGAAAAAAAAACAAGAGTGAGGAGACTCCAAAGAAATCAGGGTGCAGTATTACCCTTCTTGTGTGACTGCTTCAGCCAAAAGCTCCTTCTTTGAGGTTTTTAGAGATTTTGATGTACAAAGATGCATGGGAAACCGGCACTTCTGCTTTCAGCGCTGAGAAATGTATATTAAAGCAACATTTACAGGAAGCTTTTTTCATTGCTCACTAAAACCTGGAAAGGTCACGAGGAGGATACATTAGCTATTATTATACATAATCCTCCGTTTTATGAAGATCAAATGGTAGAATTCTGGGCCTTGTCTAAAACCAGGAGACTGTGCCTGTGTCCTGAGCACACACGCACAACCACCACCCAGCAGTCTGACCCTGAGGGTGCAGCCACACACCTCAAATCAGAGCACTGTTCCGATGGGGGCCTCCCCCTTCACACTTCCCTTCCCAGGGCTTTAATTTTGAGAGAGCAGCTGCTAAGCTGGGCAGCTGTCCTGGGGCCACGCACAGGTCCCTGTATCAGTGATTCACTAGGTGGATTTTTTTAGGAGTCAAGTAATTGCCACATGCTGAATCCAATTCCTTAGAATCGACAACCTCTGTTTAACAGAAAAAATGTAATGATGTTTCTTTGAGATCCTCTTTCTGTTCTCAGGTTCACTAAGCTGGATTTTCAGGCATGCCAAGAAAGCACAGGGACAAGGCCAAGACCATAACATAGAATCTCCTGCTCTGTCCCAAATAAAAGCAAAGCCACCTTGGGATGACCAAAGACAACATTGTCTTTACCTCAAATAATAAGACTAGCTCAAAGAAAACCTGTAGATTAAAAAAATAAAGCCATCCAAACTGGCAATACTGATTGCTTGTGAGAACTGAAATTACCATGTAATGCTGATTGGCACAGGCCCAGCTTCATTTGGCTGGAAGTCATCAAAAATAGAAATGAAAACTGCATTAATAAGCAGATACAAATGGAATGAACTTGGATGGACAAAGCAGAAATCCAAGCAGATGCTATGAACTCTTAGGAAGGGACTTAAGAACAAAACAGAGTGTGCTGTTACATACAAATCCATGAGGACCCCGCACTTGGAATCCAGACTATTGGGCTGGTCCCCAGTCCTAAGAATGTGAGTTAACCCAGAAATGACAATGGTCAGAGCTACAGAACAGCTGCTACAAGAAAAGTGATTTAAAAACGCCACTCTGTAAAAGAGGCAGCTGAGAAGTGAGTCCCAAAGTCATAAACACCATGGAGAAGATGAAACAGGATGGCTGTTCTCCATTTCTTCCAAAGAAAAAACTGACAGATCTCACAAGAAACATACAAGTGACAGGTACCAAACACACAGAGAGGTATTTTTTAGGCCAACACCCAGCCAAGGAGTGGGGCTCCCCACCAGGAATATGCCAGGACTCCAAAAGTGACCACCACATCTGTCAGCAGGAGAAACATATGCAGGGCTCCTAGGACAAAGACACTGTTCTGACTTGGGAATTTCACAGATGTCTAGAAGCTGGGAAACTTCTATTTTCCAGTATCACACGCTTGCCCTGGTCTGAAACCTCAACAGACGAACAAGACATGGTGCCCAATGCCTCTGGTAACAAACACTGCAGCTGAGTTTACAGCTCTTGTGAAAAGAGGCTTCCAGTTTCAAAACCTTAGCCTTCAACATCAACCACTGTCAGAAGCACCCTTGTAACTGCTTCATCATTTTTTCTCATAAAACCAAACCAACTTTATATTTATTTATTTACATGCAAACACTGGCCCCAGTGAAGGGAGCCATCATTTTTTCCACTACTAAAGTTGTGGGAATACATGGTGAAAACACAGAGGATGAGGAAATGAGGTTAAGAATGCAAAGAGAATGCATACGAACAAGTTATAGTAAATCTTTAAGAATCAGAAAAACAGAATAGAGACAGCAAAGAAGTAAGAAAGGCCATGAGAGCATGAGGGTGAATGCAGAAAGGAAAATAAGCGGTAGATAAAAGGACAAGCAACAGAGCGGGAATTGTAACGCTGACGAAAATAGCATGATTTTATGGAAAAGGCATAAATTATCTGTAACGAGCATGTGGTGCAATTACAAAGTTGACTTTGACCAAAGGTAAGTAGGAGGGAAATAATTCCCTGAAAAAGAACAGTAATCCTACTAAGGAGCACTCTTCCTCCACCACACTATGTAACTGAGGACAAGGTAACATATCAAGGAATTCAATGCCTTCTGTGCATTTTGTTTCTAATAACATCAGTAATACTACATATAGCATATGAATTACAGAAAAATACATGTACCACTATCATTAGGTCAGAAATGTGCTTTTTCAGGTTTGCTGCTTTAAAACCTGTATGCAAGCCACCTCTACAAATCCCAACCAGGCTCTGAGATGCCAGCGCTCTGCAGTCAGGTGAAGGGGTGGAGTGCTTCACAGCCCCAACCATGCTGCCTTGCCAGGAGCTAAAGGACAAGACAGTCAGCCAGCTGAAGTTTGAGAAACACTTAGAAATTGGATCCAGGATCGCCAAGAAGGAAATTTACCAGCCAACTCGCTTTGTAATGCCCCCCCAGCTGCAGAGGTCGGGCACAGGCGCCGCTCGCCCTGCACAGGGCAGCACAGCAGACAGCAACAGCGCCCACAGACACCAGGACTGCCCGACGGCGGAGCTTTCCCAGCGCCCCGGGGCAGCGGCAGCCTCGCGAACGGGAGCGGCCCGCGGTGCCTCGGGAGTTAACGGCCTCTGGGAAGCCGTCACGCATTCCTGTAAATCCAGCGGTGCGTTCCCTGACTCAGGGATAAATCCCGGAAACGGCGCAGCCCCGCCTACCCCCGGGACGGACCTCCTGGCCCGCGCCCCCCGCTCCCCTCAGCGAGAGAAAATGGGCGCTGCGGGGCGCTGCCGCGGGGTAACACGAACCCCGGCAGCGGGCTACGAATCGAATTCCCGAATCGATCCCACAGCGGAGGGCTCACCCGGCCGTGGATCCAGGGCCGACGTTTCCCAGTTTGCCCCCTCCGAGCCGCTGCCCGCAGCCCCGTCCCGAGTTCGGGGTGCGGCGGAACCCCCTCTGAGTGACTTACCGTCCCCAGCGAGCTGCGGGGCAGCGCCAGTCCGCGCATGGCTCTGCGCCCCTCTACGTCCCCATAGCGGGGTCCCGGGGCGCAGAGAAGCCGGCGACGCAGCCCAGCCCCGGCCGGAGCGGCGCGGAGCGAAACCAGCCCGTCTCCAACTTCCTGCCGGCAGCAGCAGCGGCGGCAGCAGCAGCAGCAGCAGCAGCTAGGCGGCAGGAAAGAGGGCGGCGAGACGCCGAGCTCCCTGCCCTCCCCCGCGCAGGACGGGCGCAGATCCGAAGGCAGCTGCCGTGTGCCGGGGCGGCGCCACTTCCAGCCTGGGGCGCGAAGAACGAAGGTTTCACCGCACGCTGAGCTCAGAGCTGCAGAGCTGAACTGAGCGGCGGCGGTCTCATACGGCAGATCTTGCCGCTTTCTGGCAAAAAGTTATCTGTTAGTGCCGGTTTTCTCTGAAGTGGGCAATCTGGAGGAAAGTAATGGGTAGTATCGTGTGACTGAAACAATAAATATACGGAATTGGAGCAGAATGAAGCTTGCTGCAATCTTACATTTCCTTGCATGTGGCCTTGCTGTTCTTCAGGTACAAGCTCATGGGAAACTGAACCACTCGGCTGTAAGGCAGTAACTTGGCATTTTAACTGCCTTGTAAACACGTTTGTTTGTTTGTTTGTTTGTTTGTTTGTAAGATTTCTTGGTCAGCCCAGCTTGCATATGTTTCGAGAATACATGCCCCGCATATACTATTTTTGGTAAAACACATTTCCCATATGTGTCAGTGAACCAGCTGCATCAATGTTGTAAGGCAAAAGTGCAGTGCAGTGCAAGCAACTTTTGGGATGAGCTCTGCTTCATTCAGTATTTACTTCTAAAGACAGCATTTAACAGCGTATTCAGAGAAGTGGCTTAATCATCCAGAACTTGCCTTTATCTGCTGCCCTTTAAGCCCTGAGTTGTTTCAGCTCCAGGTGCAGGAGTACGCTAGCCAATGGGGAAAGGGCTCACTAGCATTGGGGTATAGGGATAAGAGAGGGGCTGCGTTCCCAAAAAATGTGAGGGTCCCCACAGGGGTATGCCCCAGTGGACTCTCCCTTTATTCAAATAAAGAAAGCTGAAGACTCTTTTCTGTCTCTTTTTGGGATAAAGATAACTGAGCAAGTCTATTGGAGCAGAAACCTTCCCAACAGCATCATAATCATAGAATCACAGAATCATATAATGGCCTGTGTTGAAAAGAACTACAATGCTCATCTAGTTTCAACCCCCCCTGCTATGTGCAGGGTCGCCAACCATCAGACCAGGCTGCCCAGAGCCACATCCAGCCTGGCCTTGAATACCTCCACGGATGGGGACATCCACAGCCTCCTTGGGCAACCTGTTCCAGTGTGTCACCATCTTCTGTGTGAAATAGGAGGTATTACTTTCAGAGCAGCCCTCGTATATACTATGTCTATTGGTTGTTTTGTTCCATGGGCAGGAAGGTTCACATGTGGGAACAGCTGTGCACCATTTGTCAGAAAGGGAGGACAGCCTGCCACAGGGAGTGCTCCTGACAGGGAACACTGCAGTTATCGCTGTGCTGCAGCCTGAAGTTGAACTGCTATGCTTTGTTTTGGAAGGATATTCCTGTTTTGTAAGTCCAAAAACATGCACACAACCCACACTAAGCCTTCTGTGAACTGTTTCAGATGAAGCCACGAATCTCTGTTCCTGCTTTTGCTCTGGGCTTGCTTACCTATTGTACAGGAGCCAGCAGTGGATATGCACGAGACAAAGCTGGAGCTGTGTAGCCACACAGCACTTCCACACCTGGGGCAGCTCTGACTGCTCTGCAAGAGGGTTCCAGCAAGGCTGCAAACAGCCAGGCAGCTTGAAGCTGGGCAGCATCTGTCTCTGGGATGGTGATGGAAGAGGCTTAGCAGGTTTCGTCTGGTTTGTGTCCTTGCTTTGAGCAAGAGCAATACTGAACAGGCCCTAAAGAGAAAAATATTCACACACTGATGGAACACACGGGAGAAAGTTACAAATCTCACAGAATTTTTTCAAGTTTACCTCAGACTGTCACGTAAGTGAATGAGAACTCAGACTGCATAGAGCTTCAGGGAAAGGGGAGAGAGGAGCTTATTGAGAACGGCGCGAGTGGCAGAGAAATCCCCACAAACCCCCACATTTGACACTTCAGAAGAGTAGTAGCCACACGGCTCGCAGCACGCTCGACATTTGCCGTAATCCAAGCACACCCCCTCCTAGCTTTTCACACCAAACCAAGCCGTCGCACCCGGCCCTCACAGCGGCCTTTTCCCAGCCGACGCGCGGCGCGCAGCCCCTGAGCCCACCCCCCTAAGGGGAGGAGCGGGGGGCGGGCAGGCAGCGCCACGAAGGCGGCGGTGATTGGCCAGATGGAGAGAGGGGGCGGAGACCGGCGGGCGCGCGGCTCGGCGCGTTGCTGTGGCGACGCTGTCATGGCGGAGCCCAGCGCGGCGGTGAGTGACTCGCGGGTTGTGGGCCCCCCTCCCTTTGCCTCCCCGCGCTGGAGTCCCGTGTTTCTGCTTCTCCCTAGGAGCAGCGGTGGCTGCAGACGGCTCGGGATTTTGTTCTTCGGGCTCTCCCAGCCAGCCCGGGTCCTGGCGGGACGGAGCGGCCGCCACTGGACGCGGTGCTGAGGTGCGTGAGGAGCGCGGGCGGCGGGGACCTGCCGCTGGGCTACAGGTAAGGTGGACGGGCCGTCGCGTTGCCGTACGGGACTGCGGAGTGTGGAGCGGAGCTGGGGTCCCGTTGCTGAGCTGAGGCCTCTCCGGATGCCGGGTGTGGGAGGGGTGTTGAGCGCTGGTAACCGCACGCCTCGCCTAGGCTTTGCCGCGCCCCCGTGGCGCTTGCGGTATGACTGAACGGCGCATCCGCCGGTCTGCGGCAGGCTGGGGTGCCGGCAAACTGAGGCACCTCGCCGGGACACGGCTGCTGCGCTGCGCCGCGGCTGCAAGGCTCGATCCCACCGGGCTGCTCGGGCTCGGCCTCTTTCAGCTCAGCCAGGTGAGGGTCGCCCTCGAGAGTGGGCTCTCACAAATGAGCAATTCAGGATAGGGGTGTCCTGGCTTTAAATGGTGAAGGGCTTTAGGGTGCTTACCATCATGAAAATGTGCAGCTTAGAGTCATGGGATGGCTTGGGTTGAAAGAGACCTCAAAGCCCGTCCAATTTCAACCTACCTGCTACGGGCAGGGCTGCCAGCCACTAATTCAGGCTGCCCAGGGCTCCATCCAACCTGGCTGTGAATGCCTCCAAGGATGGAGCACCCATAGCTTCTCTTTCTTAGAGACTGAAGTTCTCTAGCATAGACAGCCAGGATGTAAACAGTGACGATGAATATGTTGCATAAACCCTGAAAAGGTTAGACTCCTGTGAAGATACTGTCTTGTTCTCCCTTATTCACTACTGTGGTCAGTCTAAGCGTGACAGCTGGGATCAGCCTCAATTGTGGTGGTTACCTGACAGTATTTCTCCTACCCCGCCAAAGCCAAGAATTTAGGCAGAAAGATTCAGGACTGCATGCACTGGTGTACTTGAAAACATGTTCTTTTACTCTCAGTTAATATTTTAAGCCAGCATTCTGTCTCTGTTTTCAGAGGGGATGCTCAGGCAGAACTGACACATCAGCTGAGATGTGAGAGATTCCTAATAAATGCCAATGGGTGGGTTGATTCTTGCCATATGATATCAAACTATGCCAGCAGCTGAGGCTCTGCTGACTTAGCCAGGCTTTGTCCACTGCACTGATCACTGTAATCCCCCAACTTTGCAGACTGAGTTCATCCTTCTGAGTTCTTGCTTTTCTTTCTTTTTTTTTGTTTTCCTCCAGTTTCATCTCCATCTCTGACCTAAAGCATCAACAGCGTACTCCGTGCTGCAGCCACCTGACCTTTAGCACTAACAAATTTAAAGAATGGGCTCACCAAGGACAAGGTGCTTTACCCATGCACAGCTCTTTGCCAAGGGCTTACCTGATCTTGTTTGGCTATTTAACCGATGGAAGGCAAGAGGACAAAGATGGTTGTCTTTATGTGAAAGACAGTACTGGGATAATTGCGTGTGAGGTATGTCCTTGGCCTGAGGGAGTCTGTGTTTATTTCCCCTTCAGGGGCTGTATCGCAGAACACTGCAGATTTCAGATGGTTTGCCAGAGTCTGTACTGAGAAAATAATGCATTTTTGTAAAAAGCAGGAGAACAGCATGTTCAGATCAGATTCTTTTCCCAGAGAAAGGACAGACAGAACATGTCAAATTTGTCATTGCTAGGAGAGCAAATATCAAGTCTACTGTCTGGATTAAAAAGATAAGTTTAATGTATAGTTCTGTTACACCTTGAACTGCATGAGGTGGCCTGAGACATGGAGGTCTGTGTTTGTTGAGCAGAAATAACTTTCTGGAGGGCTGTACTGGTCGTTCATTGATGACATACTTTCAGGAAATAATAACCTGTGTGACAGTGATATTGGATGAAAAGTCTTCTAAAATTCATAGGAAGGGAATGTAAATACAAAATAACTGATAGAATGGGAATGAAAGAGCAGTGAGGTTGTGCCTTCCAGGAAGGTGAAGACTGGGTGAAAAAATGCATTAGTTGTATTGGTATCAACTTGTAACTGAAAACACAGGGGAAAAGAAAGGAGATGAGAATTCTAGAAAAATAGTCTGGAAATAATAAAGTCTTACAGTGAATTATGACTTTACTGCAAAGGAATATGTGTAATCCAGGAAATGCTAAGTGTGGAGCTCAGCAAGTCTCCAGATTTGTGTCTGGAAGGCCAGAAGTTCTCTGTGCAAGACAGAGAAGTAGACAGAAGACATTGCTCTCATTTCATAATGAAGCCCAGAAGTAGAATAAGAATTTATGATGCTTGTGCAAGGGCAAATTAGTAGATTAACTTTGTAAATAATGCTGAGAAAAGGTAACTTAATTCATCTCAAGCTTTTTTTTCACTGTCTTTTGCCTTAGCTGCTGCATTTTGAACTGGAGTGGCTGGAGTCACTGTTCCTTTTCCCAAGCTGGGCATATATACCACAGACTGACCACAGTGCAGCAGGATACATAGAAATCCTGGTGGATCCAGTGCCAGTAAATCGCCTCCCAAAGGAAGTGTCTGAGACCATCC